GGCATCGGGTGGGTGGCTCTGTGCCGTGCCAGGTGCAGGGTCTGCTAGCTGGGTGCTGGCAGGCTTGCACCTGGCACGGGCACCGTAGCCAGCCCGTGCCCCTTTAAGGGGTCCGGGGCCGGGAGGGGGGCATAGAGTTTCCCTGGTGTTGGCCAGAGTGGCCACCAGGGAAACCTGGGAAGCCTTAGCCTCCCACTAGTTCGAACTAAAGGGCTACACAGCCCTTAGTTCGAACTAGCTAGTTCGAACTAGGCGTTAGTCCTCGTAAAATGAGGTTTACCTAGTTCGAACTAAGCGCTCCGCTAGTTCGATTCAAATTCGAACTAGCGGAGCGCTAGTGTAGCGCCTATTAAAGTTAGTTCGAACTAACGTCCGTTAGTTCGAACTAACTTTGTAGTGTAGACATACCCTCACAGTGTAGTCGATTTAACTGATAAGCAAAAGGTTACTGGTTAATGCTAACCCACACCCCACATTACCAGTACATTTTTTAGCAGATTGGCCAGCAGACTGGCTTAGTACTGACTTGTGCTGGGACTGGGATCAAATCCCCCACTATGGCTCTGCATTTAAAGTGTATTAGGAGCCAGACAGGAAAGCAGCCACGCTCACTTCCAGCTCACCCCAGGTCTGGGTGCTCGGTCCCCTCCTCACTCAGACAGTGGCAGCTGCCAGCCTCAGAGGCAGCCTCAGCCAACAGGCAGCTGGTCCGCAAGGGAAGCTGCTTTTTTCAGAGGTAGCAGCATGGGATAGCAGGGGGCTCCTCAGGAGTGGGGCCAGAGCGCATTGGCGGTCGGCCCCCACACACAGGGACTACAGACTGGTCGAGTAACCAATAAGAACTCCTGAGTTAATCAACTATTCAATTAACTGATATTTAACATCCCTATCAGCCAACAGGCAGCTGGTCCGCAAGGGAAGCTGCTTTTTTCAGAGGTAGCAGCATGGGATAGCAGGGGGCTCCTCAGGAGTGGGGCCAGAGCGCATTGGCGGTCGGCCCCCACACACAGGGACTACAGACTGGTCGAGTAACCAATAAGAACTCCTGAGTTAATCAACTATTCAATTAACTGATATTTAACATCCCTACTGTGTACACTGTATATTGTTGTATGCTGACAAATGTAAAAGGTCAATAATATATACTTCCAGGGGAGCAATGAGGAGAATATGAATGTTTTAGTTCAATAAATTCAGACCCCTTTTCCTCAGTCACCCCCTATATACTGTTAACTACAGGTATGTATTTGTTGCTCTTGTCCAGGGGCTCTTGTATATTTCAAAGGAGGAATGTGGAGCTCTGCGTGCAGCCCAGGGCTAGCGGTAAGTTCCCCTCACTCCAGGCTTCACAAGGGTGCTTACCCTTTGAAATGCACAAGAGCCTTTATGGGACTCTTCTAGGTCAGAATCCTCTCCTGCACCCATGCCTCCTCCCAGATCCTGTACCAGATCACAAACTCCTCCTGGCCTACATCACAATCCAATCTCCTGAACCCCCTTCTGCATTTCTGCCCCAACTCACAACTAGGGATGTAATAGGATAACCATTCAAACAGTTTACTGTTAAGTCTGGACTGGATTCCACCACCTAGGAAGGTGGTGGAATCTCCAAACCTAGAGGTTTTTAAGTGTTGGCTTGACAAAGCCCTGGCTGGGTTGATTTGGTTGGGGTTGGTCCTGCCTTGGGCGGGGGGGGCTGGACTTGATGACCTCCTGAGGTCTCTTCCAGCTCTATGATCAGTTACAAGGAACTGTTTCACACAAGCTCCTGCCCGACTCCCAGGGAACTAGCCATAACCCCATGCGCTGGCTCTGTATCAGTGCCTGCATTGTGGGGTGGCAGTGGGGCCAAGAGACAACTTAAAAGCTGCCTCCCAGCACTCGCTGGCTCCTGTTGCAGACTCTGCTGTATAAAGCTTATACTGCACAGCCGGCTCCCCAGGAATGGGGCCAGCTGGCTCTGCCCCTGGGGAGCCAGCTGTGCTATGGGCTCTGCAGTATAAAGCTTATACTGCAGAGCCCGTAGCATGTAACTGCTGAGATTTTCAGCAGTGACACAGTTACCTAATTATCTGCTTTGTAACATCCCTAGTCATAACCCCCTCCCCGACAGCTCCTCCAGGTCAGAATTCTCTCCTGCACCCATACCTGCTTTGGACCCTGCATCTCCTCTTGGACCCAGATCGCCTGCCCCAAGTCACAACCCCTTCCTTCACCCAAACTTCCTCCTGCACCCCCCTTCCTTATCTTGAGCTCCCTTCTGCCCCCAGCCTCCATCCCAGGCCCTCACCTCCTCCATTAATATCACGGAAGAGTGCAGTCCTTGACCTCTTAACAAATTCTTGGAGTGGCCCCCCATCAAACATTATCGCCCATCCCTGCTCTAGATGTTCCTTGGGCCTACCATGAGTGCAGGGGACTGGACATCATCTCTCAAGGTTACTTCCAGTTCTAGGATTCTAAATACAGTCTCCAATTCCAGACTGAACTTGTTCAGTTTCCAAGATTAATATCTTAACCACAAGGTGTTAAAACTTTACCTGGAATGTGACAGTTGGGGTATTTTTGCCCCCTTCCCCTGATAAATGAAAGCCTGGTGTCCACCAATCTAAGCCATACACCCTTAAAATGCTGGGTAGCAAATGGAACTTTGATGTTATCGATTTGTCACCAAATAACTCAAATATTCCTTTTCTTTTCACAGATTGCATCGGTGTTCTAGATTTCATGTGAGAAAAACTTAATCAGCTAAAAACACATTGGAAGAATTTTCAAAACATGATTAGCACCTATTCTGCTTCTCTTCCTCCTGCTCCCAAGTGTCACTTCAAAAATCATGTTTGAACCATGTTTAAAAAAAAAATTAAAAAAAACCCACCCCCACACCCCTGCTAATGGTCCACATCTTCAAAATGGAACAAACGACAGGAGATGGAAGGCCAAAGCCTGGCTTATGATGGAAAAAAGTCTTAAACTATGGTGGGGCTATTGCATCATAACACTTCAGGCAAATAAATAAAGCACTTATTGCAATATGTTCTAGAAAATGCTAGTCTCCTCTTAAAAGTCCATACAGATCCAAAGTCAAAACCAGAGTTTACAGCAAAAATTAAAAACCCGATACACATTGCTCAAATGTGCTAAGGCTTTTCTTTGTTTCACTTCAAGAATCAAAGCAAAACCAGATACTCTGAGATTTGTAGGCAGAAACTACATACCACTTCTATAACTTACCTACAGCCAACCAAATAAATAACACAAGCTTGACAAAGATGCTGCCAGAAATCCATTAAAATTTTATACACCTTCAATGAAAGACTAAGGACTTGTTCATACAAACAATTAGTTCGCAGCAAGCTATTGTGCGAATTGCACACAGACAAGCACAAAGGTTTCTCAATACTGTTTCTGTTAGCTTCCTCAATACCTGGCTCAGTTTTTATAATTTTTCTCTAACTATCACAGAAGCAGAAAGTAACCAGTTCGGTGTTCATGGTGTCAGAATATTGCTCCTTCAAACAAGATTCAGTTTCACTGATAAATTAAGGTGTCTGATATGGCAAGGTTTGGGCCAATGTAGCCTAAATTTAAAAGTAATTTCACAGGAGCTATAGGTGAATCTTCTGCAGAGTAACATTTCAAAGCTGTATTAAAGCCATCTTCAGTTGTAAACTTCTGAAGGAACAACCATATAGTTCAGAGATCCGAACAACCTCCATTTCCAAAGTTCTTCTCTATCGTTATTGACAAGACCCACCTTAAAGTCACACACACTGAATAGATCTCATGTTGATAAACCAGTGCCATTATAACAAAGCAAACTAAACGTCATAAAATAAAACATTGTTTGTTGTAAAAATAAAGAGGTTACCTTCCAGGTTCTGTAAGGCAAAAAGCTGCAACATGCTCCCCAGATGCTAATTTGGGTAGATACTTTTCTTTCTGCTCATCAGTGCCAGCAATCAAGATTCCCTAATAAAGACATGAATAAGACTTACCATCTTGTCATGATGTATACAAAGTAAAAAACCATTCAGAGAATGTTTAATTCATAATATACAGAAAAATTGAACATTAAATGCATAATTGGGTGGTATTAAGATTTTAACAGACTGTTTGACATGGATGTCTAATAAAGCTATCATCATATAGCTGATCGATTGTATACATGACATAAGCTGGTATTAGACCACTTTTTTGGACAGGGTATTAGTAATCAACCATCAGCTGAAATCCTCATAGCAATTACTCTCTTTGAGATGGACAAAGTGAGCATGAAACATGAATTAGCCCCTTAGTCCTTTAGGTAGCCTGCTCTATTAGAAAATGCAGCACTTTTAGTGCCATTACTGTATTATAATAAAAAGGGCATTAAGCAAAGAACAAGGCATGATTTACTTATTTTTCAGACTGTTTCATATCAAACGAATATTTTTCTTTAGACCTTTATAGGCAGGGCTTCTTATCAAAGGCAGTCCAAGTTACAATCAGATGTTTTTAGACCAATGAAGAGGCTTTTTTGTACCAGGTTAGGATACAGAGTCTCAACAAAACTTTTTGATTGCTCTCTGGCAGTGGGAAGTGTTACCTGCAATTATCCCAGACTGGACACAAGAGGAGAATAATAAACAGTACTTTGTTCTTTTATGGCACTTTGCATTAGTAGATCTTAAATGACAAAGATAAGTGTATGGGAGGATCACTCTTGAAAAAAATTATAGCACACTAGCATGAAATAAAAATATAACTTAATTTACTGTGCACAGCTGGTAATTAATTTTCATTTATTATTACAAATAAATTAAGATCCATCACGCACAATCTACACTTGAATGTAAGTTCATCCCATCTGGCCTCTCCAAGCCATGTACAACATTTAAATAACCCATTGTTACCTTAAGCCCTATTGCTTGATGAGCTGCCAAAGTAACTGCAATAGACCCATCTAGAGAAATTATTTCTCCTAAACGTGCATACATTGTATTTGAGAGACCAAGTCCACCTGAGGGGGGGAGAAAAAAATGTTTTTCTTTTGTCAATCAATATACATGTCACTGTTTTAAAAGACGTCCTTATAGACAGAAATACTTCAGTATAGAAAAACAAAAACAAACCAACCACAACAAGTTACCAGTGTCCTAAATGCTCAAAGAACACTAAGGAAGCCTTTAATAATACATTACTTGTAACAAGCATATTGTTTGCCCAAAAAGTGAACAACTCTCTATCTATAGCAATTCAGGAGGAAATCATTTTAGAAGAGACAAATCACCTTTTAAAAATTGCTTGTGGATATTTATTTGTCAGCGGTAGAAGCATAGATATTTTAGTTCTACCATGACAAGCTGACACTGCGCATATCCCTCTCGAATAGGGGTTTTCAAATGTTGGGTTGCAGCTCTACCCTGATAAGTGATGTTTTATTTACGTGAGAGTCCGCAGGCATGGCCACTGCCAGCTCAGCTCTATCCTGACAACTGGTGACCCAAAGTTTAAAAATACTTGCTCTAGAACAGACATGATTCAGTCCACTGAATGTTAGAAAAAGTCTACTGAATACCTGTTTACATCAAAGGGGCATTAGGACAAATTAAACTTATACTTGAAAGATCGTTCATCTGACACTGCGGTTTGGTTTAGAGTCCTTTAAAAGAAAGCCAGCTATTGTTCACGGAAAATCTTTTGACTCAACAGCTGCAGAAGCAGCCAGCAGAGGGAGTATAGCATTTAACAAACTTTACTCTCAGAACAATGCTGATGTCATTGTAGCTGGTACAGGAGACAAGAACATGAAGACTAAAAGCAAAAACCATGTTAGCCTGCACATCACAAGAGAAGAGAAAGATCAAAAAGAGTTCAGTTTTCTGAATGGGTACTAAATAATGGCAAAAGACACTATTAAGATGTTTAAATAACATAAAAATTAAATACTTTGAGAAACTATTTTGCCATGGGTGTGAATTTTTTTCCCATTCTGTGACCCTCTGTTGTAAATAAACAAACAATATATGTACAAGGAGCACAGAAAAGTCGGGCGAGGAGGAAAAAACCACAGCCATAATTTCATCTCATATTATGCATCTTTCCTTTGTATTTCCAGCATTCACATTAGGGATGTGAATGGTTAGCCAGTTAACAGGTAAGCCTCATCCTTTTTGGGTAAAGCTTATTGTTTACCATTAACCAGTGGGCTGGAGCAGCTCCCAACCCACCATGGACAGAGGACTGCTCCAGCTCTGTGGGGCCCACCACAGTCAGGGGCCACTCCAGCCCAGCCAGAGTAGCCCCCGCCTGCCCCCTCCCTACCCCACCCTGTTTAATCAGTTAACATTTAAACTGATTAACAAGGATTTTACATTCCGAATTCACATATGCATAATTTTGACACCCAGGGTTATAGAACTAATATTTTTCTCCTCAATTGCAAACCCAGAAAATTGTTATTAAAACGCAGTTTTCATTTTCATTCCCTTTTTCTAAAGTTTACAGGAATGCGGGAGCCAGCAAGTGGACCGCCCAAGGTGGGTGGAATAGTGTTCTCGCTTGTGCAGTGCCCAGCCAATAATTTCAAACAACAGAATTTACATATCATTACTTATGTATTTATTCATCTTTTTGAAAACCAATATATTTCCCAAGTACTGGAGAACGAAGCACTTTTTTAAATTGTCCCTCTGTACATTCCTTACACAAAAGTCTTAAGACTGACTATCAAAGTCAAATGCCAAAATTATGTTCATGTGTACAACTTTAATTATGCCCCCTTTCAAATTACAATATAGCCCATCATATACTATGAGAAGTTCATGTACAATATATTTACAAGTGCATAGTAGTGTCTTACAATATTGCTTTCCTGGGCTCAGTTGGTCTGATGTAACAGTCATTTGCACGACAAGCCATGGTTTACCAGGCTCACAGACCTACTACATGTTAAACAAACAGAAATCTCTCAAACACCTGGAAGTGTCTTCATTGCATTACCAGATATATACCACACTCCACAAAACCAATTTAATGCTTTCACTGAAACTTCTTCCACTCTTCAGATGTCAACTTTGGTCTCTCCGTAAACATTCATGTTTCAAATATCCCGAAGGCCTAAGAAGAACTAACTAATCTAATACCGCATTCTTTTAACTGTCGCTAACAACAGTCTGTTGAAAAGACTGCAGCAATGTGGAAAGCGAAAGTTTATTCTTTATCATTTTATGATGAACTTTGTTCTTCAAAAAGAACAAGCAGACCTGAGGCACCTTCCAGACTTAAAAATATACTAGGGGGCTGTGCCCCCTGTTCACTACACTCACTAACCCTCCCCCCCCACCCTTGGGGGGGAGGAGGCAACTCCAGCTCTCCCCCCAGCCACTGGGGAAGGCTGTGCTGCAACAGTGCCAGCCTGGTCCCCTCCCCCACCCTGAGCAGCGCC